AATAGCTTTTGCAGGATCATCTTAAGCGGTCGAGGCCCCTTCGAGGTCCGTCGTGATGTTTTGAATAGAGTGAGAATGAAGAGGACTTGGAGCCAGCTGCGGCTTAAAATTCTTTTCACGGGAAAGAAGAGAGACAACCAGGGTTCGTCCGGGCTCGAGGCTTTGCGGGGACCCCTTTAATAGTATTATAAGCCCCGGTCCCCGAGGCCTCGTAATCTTTCAAGCTAAAGGGGTTTTGGGATTTTGTGGAGGCCTCGCCAGGCCTCGAAAGGCCTCGAAACCCCATGAGTGAGGCCTCGAAACCCCATGAGTAAGGTTTGGGGAGGCCTCGGAAGGCCTCGAACCCCGCAGGGTGAGGCCTCAGAGGCCTTGCAATATCGCGTACACATGTTTGCAAAAGTTGCCAGTTTGCGCAAGTCCAAATCTGGGGTCGAAAAATCTCAACAATTCTGGCTTCGCGTGCGTGGGCCTCCCCTGTACTTCTATCTTTTTGCTTAGTTGCTGGGCTTCCTGTGGTGTAGTAACACACCACATGGAGCCCCTTAGTGACCATGCCGGCCACCACCCAGTGGTACTGCGCAGATCATTGTACGTGCTGATCGCGTCGTGTGTGTTCGAGCGGCTCCCTATGTGCGTCCCCATGCAAGTAGCCCGTGTTCTGCCACGTCCACGCAGGTTAGTCGTGAGGGCCGCTGCTTTCGATTTCCACAGTTCTTCGCGTTAAAAAATGCCAAACAGCAGCGCAATACAAAAAGAGAATCTGAGAGGAACCGCTGTTTGTGGGCAGGGCTGGGGTTGCCAGGTGACGTATGTCGTCGCTTTGCCAGAAGCAAAGGTTCGGCGGACAGGAGAGGACCCAAAACATGCCATTCCCTCCTTGCAAACAAATACCCCAACTCTCCAAAATGTGAAAAGTTGTGAAGCGCGCAGCAGAGGCCGCCTTAAAAAGGGTTTAACCTTAAGCTCTATGCACATTTCTTCAGCTTCCCAGTCCGTAGTTCTTGTGGCCCAAAACTTCAAATGTGCCATCAGACCACACGCATCCTCGCAGTAGCATGCCGGTTAGATATTGAAACATAATTGTCTGAGAACGCTTGCGCTAGCATGCCCGCTAGCCCCTTGCCTGGTGAGATCCTGGTAAACGAGGGGTCGGAAAAATTACTAATAATATTGCCTTAGGTTCCGTTCATAATTATGCTAAAATAATCGCCCGCCAAAACCGTACTCTAATACTCTAATTCTCCAGCCCCCTATAGCACTCGTGCCATGGTGTGCTGCGATGCTCGGCTGCAGCAGCCCTTTCCTCACTCCGTCCCTGTCATTCTCGCAAAGCGCTTGATGCTGCCAGCCCAGATACCCTTGTAAGAGCACTAGGACGCACCGAAGTTGTGTCCATGAAGCGGCACACAGCTGCTGAGAGAGTGCGTGGCATCCTTGACATTATTCCACGCTGAGATGCCCCTTCTCAATCCTCTCAGACTGCTTGTTGCCCACAGAACAGCAGGAGATGGCGCCCTCAGTGACGAAGGTTCGAGCAACACAACGTGCCAGGTATCCTTGTACAAGTGTTCGATTCGCAAGTCACGGTGAACAGCTGACATGTTGGTCACTGGCATCTGCCCTCACTGAGGATCCTTGAGGTATCATCTCAGTTACGCTTGTTGTCTCTTGTATCGCAACTGGGCCCGTCCACTGCGCATTCATTCACGGTGAGGCGGGAAGCATGGAAGTCCGGAAGAAGACTCCAGTAGCGAGAGAGGCTTCCCCAGAAATGACCCCATCTTCGACAGTGTGGAGTGCCGAATCGCAGTTGCGATCAATCTCCAACCAACCTTGCACACTGTCATCACCACACTCGTACAACATGGTTTCACACCCAATCATGACCTACGTGCTGCTCCCTTCGATTGGCGATTGGCAGGTTCCGATCTCGAGTACCGCAACTATTTCCAACAAACTTGTACACCACACTCCATCAACGCAAAGCATTCGTATACAGGTGGAGCCACGTGAAGCTTTGCTTGTGGAGCGAGTACAATGCGTGACCTTTTCTGGCAGATGCCGAGCTTCGTTCAGCTACGTGTGCAGGGATGCGTGTCTTACCTTTGAATACTGCCTTTTGTCGCGTTTCCGCATGCAAAGGCCTGCGCACTCAAGTCTCGGGGTGTTAAGGTGCCCCATCGTAAGTCTGCTTTTTCTAGCTGTGCAGTTTCCGGGGCGGTTGTGGCACGCCAGGCTACCGCACACCAAACGTCTTCTCTGGTCACGTTCTCAGAGAGAAAGCGAGGATGAGGGACATTAAGCCCTAACCCCCAAACCCTAAACCTCAAACATGTGGCATTTTCTGAGCTCGCAGGTGTGCAACCAGGCTGGTGCTGCTTGCCGGGCACAAGCTGTTCCCTACATGGGTAATTTCCTATTTTAGGGTCCCTTTCTGGATCCCCATTATAAGGCGGCACCCTTTAGAAGGGGCTCCCAAAAGGGACCCTGATTTAGAGCACTGCCCACATGAGCTTCAATGAGAGGCTTTGTTCGCATCTGTTTGCGTTGGGTGATTTGACACCAGTCTGGGCCTTGGCACCCTGGCTCAGGGTTTAGGGTTTAGGGTTTAGGGTTTAGGGTTTAGGGTGCTAACTTGCAACAAGGAGTGCCAGAGATGCCCGAGAGACTTCGCAGCTGAGCAAGCTGTGTGTCACGTCCTCTTTTCAGCTCCCGGCTTTCCCGAGACCAGAGTGCCGAGTAGCGCTAGCGGTGGAAAACTGGCCTCATGTCACATGTCTATAGGCGACGACAAAGCAAGAAAGTCTCCGCTCAGCTGCGCCTGTCGTTTCTCAGGCATGATGGTGTGAACCATGTGTGGGTGGATGTCAGACATCACAGGGCGCATAGTTCGCGAATTCTTGCGCGCCATGGAGGGAGCCCCGCTTCGGCGGGGTCGCTGTTGATCGTTGCTGTTGGGTCGCGAGGGTGAGCGATGCCTCCATCTCATTAGTCACCCAAAACACGCAGCAGAAAGCACCACCTTCAATCGAAGCATGAACCAAGCTTCCAACTCGTTTGTGAAAGTTTGCCGCTTTTGCTGTATGGCCTGCTCATGCCTGAGCCGTGATTTTCTATCTTCTCAGCTTGTTCTCATTTGGGACGTCGCACCACACCTCGCCGCACCTTCGCTGATGCCCCTCGCGAGAGCATGCCCCAGTCGAACATACTGACACTTGGCGTGTTGGAGACATTGGACACCTCCTGATCATTTCCTAAGCTGGGGTACCGTACCTCGCGGAGCAACTGCCAGATCCAAATGGCTGCATGCGAAACCTGTATCAAAGGGTGCTTGGGTGTGCCGGTCCCAACGGTGTGCAGTTCTCCAACCTCATGCTTTGGTCAGCTGACCCTAGCAAAGGACGCCCTGCGCATCGCTGCTCTTTTTCTTTGAGTGTGCAAAGACAAGGTCGCATCTCCAAGCCCCATCAATCGCTCGTGGCTGAGACAGAGGGAGACTGGGAGTGTGCAAGCTTCTCGTGCATAAGGGGTCTTGAGGCCGCTGGCATTTTCCCATTCCAGTGCTGATGACGCTTCAAGCTTCAACACCTCTTGAGTCAGGGCACACCGTTTGAAGCGATTTTGTTGGGCGTTGCGCCCTCCTTGTCGGGATGCAAGAAGCGCCTTGTGAGCGGATTCACGGCTGGCTGATATCTAATCCGTCGGGCACAGATGTGCGTTAGCACAGGCGAAGTCAATGACCAGAGCTGCGAAGCAACCTCTGTAAATTCAGCATGGCTTGACGCTAGAAGTAATTCCTGCGAAGGCTCCACCGAAGACATGCTGATGAGGCAACGCAGGCTTTCTGACGTGCGGGTGGCATGTGCCGCGTTCCGGATCTCTCTCGGAGGTAACGGTGGCCGCTTGACACCCTTCCGGTACTTCTGATGCCCAGGTCCATCATCGGATAAACCCTGACCCAGTGCCTTGCAGCACAGGCTTCATGTATGAAGCTGCCGAGCAGGCGCCCGTCATGCATCTGACGTAGCCGAAGTAGGTCAGGATGTCGCATGTGTTTCTTTAAGAGCCCAAAAAACGCTGGAGGTATTGACGAGCCTGGGATCCGCGACGACAAGGGCCACCAACCAGACCACTAAGCATGTTGTGCAACGCAGCTCCCAAAGCACTGGGCATTGCACGCATGTGAATCGCCGCTCCGTGTGCTTGAGTGTTCAGTTACAACCGCGAATCTCCAAGCCCAATCAATCGCTCCTGGCCGAGACAGAGGGAGACTGGGAGTGTGCAAGCTCTTTGTGCGTAAGGGGTCTTGAGGCAGCTGGCATTTTCCCATTCCAGTGCTGATGACGCTTCAAGCTTCAACACCTCTTGAGTCAGGGGACACCGTTTGAAGCGATTTTGTTGGGCGTTGCGCCCTCCTTGTCGGGATGCAAGAAGCGCCTTGTGAGCGCATTCACGGCTGGCTGATATCTAATCCGTCGGGCACAGATAACGTTAGCACAGGCGAAGTCAATGACCAGAGCTGCGAAGCAACCTCTGTAAACTCAGCATGGCTTGACGCTAGAAGTAATTCCTGCGAAGGCTCCACCGAAAACATGCTGATCAGGCAACGCATGCTTTCTGACGTGCGGGTGGCATGTGCTTCGTTCCGGTAGCAGCGGCCGCTTGACACCTTTCCGGTACTTCTGATACCAAGGTCCATTATCAGTAAACCCGCCCCCAGTGCCTTGCAGCACAGGCTTCATGTATGAAGCTGCCGAGCAAGGGCTCGTCATCTGAGCATCTGACATAACCGAAGTAGGTCAGGATGCAGCATGGGTTTCTTTGGAAAGTAAACTCATGGGGGCCCAAGGGACGCTGGAGGTATTGACGAGTCAGAGGTACTCTAGACCCGATAGAGGCCACCAAGCATGTTGTGCGACGCGCTTCCAAGATATCAGCACGCACCAACATGGCTGAGGTGCCGGGTGCTGTAGGCTTCTTCGGACCCCTGTTGTAGTGCGATGTCGCTCCAGGCCCACTTGAAAGCCCCTAAAGTTGCACCCGCTTACACCCTAAGCCAAGTTGCCTACCGCTCCCAGCGCCATTTGCTCGCCGAAAGACCACGCAACGGCGACCCGACCACGGCTTGCCTTAGCCGCTCACAAATGCAATCGCCCACGGCCCTCGTAGGCCCGCATCACTTCCTGCATCGCTCGAGGGTTCGAGTGCGCAATCCGGCTGCTGCACTCCGCTTCTCTGTTGGTGAGCACTGGTGCTGGGAAGCAGTATCCCAGGCTCCTTGCAGTCTCTTTGTGGCTGTTGTCCAGCAAGTTGGGGTCCTCACAAGCAGGCAAGGCAGTCCGGGACCTTCACGCCGAGATCTTGGACATGTTGTCCGCATCACTCCGGCAGCCCGCATCGGAAGCTCACAGGCTGCGTGCTTCAACTTGATACCTGCATGTTTATGTGCTCTTTTCGACCTCTCAAGGCCCCCTCTCAACATCACCAGCTGCAATGCGGTCATGGCAGCCTAGGGAGGCCTCCATGAGAGATTGACTCGAACCTTCCCGCTTCTTTGTGCAAAGGCCCCTGAAGAGGTGCAGCGCGGGATGTTCCTACACGAGTGCCTTCGACACTTGACACCCACAACCAAGATCCGGCTGGAACGGAGAAGGGTCGCGGGCTGCGGGCCTTGTCTCCTGCGTATTGGGTAAAGTGGTCGGGTTGTAGGACTTCGGCACGGGTTTAGGGTTTAGGGTTTAGGGTTCAGGGTTTAGCACGCAAGTAGGTTCCAGAGGTCATTGTAACAGCAACCGTGCCTCGATAACCCAAAGCCCTAAACCCTAGGCCCTCAACCCTAAACCCTCAACGCTAAAGACACGCTTGGCCTTGCAGACTTCTCTCTTGAGAGATGCCGAGGAGGATTTTGTAGGTCCTCCGTGCCGCAGGCGCCGCAGGCTGTGGTTTAGGTGGGACACTCCTCGGAACTGCAAGGGGATCTGACCTTCCAAGGTAAGAGCCTCGTAAAGCAAGGGGTGAAGCCTCAGAAGCTTGTCGCGAAGAGTTCCTGCATCCTGGAGCGCACCGACAGGCCGCTGACAGCCAGAGGGCCGCAAGAGAGTCGGGGGCTACAGAGACAGCCTGGACTTGTTTTCTTGAAGCGCCTTGCCTTGCCTCTTAGAGCGAAAGTCGCCCAGCAAAGCCGTGGAAATTTGCGGAACCCGTGGCTTCTAGAGGAGTCGAGCAGCGATCCTTGGAGGCGAGAGAAGCGCAGGGAGGCAAGGCGCCACGACCACCCGCGCTCCCTCTCTCTCTCTCTCTCGCCCTCCCTCTCCCTCTCCCCCTCCCTCGATCGGCATCTCTGACCTAGAAACAGAGAGGCGAGGAGGAGCTGGAGCTGGAGCAGAGCCGCTTCGCTGAGCACCAGGGACTGCCGCAAGGGCGAGGCCATCGGGCGAATCATTCACAACAACAAAGGCCACCGACTGAGGCTGCAACCACAAGCACAAGCGGCCACTCTCACATTCGGGTTTGTGATTGCTTCAGGGGCTCTACCATAGAGGCGGCCACCGACAGCTTCAAGTGATGCAGGTCCCAGGTAAATGGTGACTGGAACATGCTCGAGGAACCGCCGCCTGGGATGTTCCTGAGGATGCTTGTCCGACTATTTCCGCTAATCGAGTAGGCCTGGAGGTGGCGACTTTTTCTCTTTTCACCCAGGTGCTGGTGATACAGAAGATCGGCCTGCTGCGAGAAGCGCCCCACTCCTCGTCCTCGAGGTGCTCGCCGGCAGCTCTGGTAGGGACTCGGACTGGAGAGCCCGTTCCACCCGTGCAAATGCAAAAGCCCAAGCTGAAGTTTAGAGGACTCGGCCGGAGGCTCGCAGCGTAGATGCTGCGCTGGTCTCCTTTCCACATTCTTGTGAGGCTTGAGGCTGAGAAGGAGGTTCCTGAACAGGTCCGCCGAAGCTTGAGCCAGGCTTCAGCAGAAATCCCAATTCCATCCAGCAATCATTAACCCCCAGAACGCTGAAAAGGCCAAAGAACAAAAAGCCCCTACTTCCTCGCAGCGCGGCCGCGCGGCCTCGCGTGCTGTGCGAACATGTTAAAGCCCTGGCGGCTACTATGAACTCTACCATGGCAGTTTTCAAAGACGCACAGCTAGCTCTTACCGCTAGAGAGCGCGCTTGCTGTTAGGTGTGTGGGCTGCAAGCTGTCTCAGATGTTCTGTGTTGGTTTCCCTTCCGCCTTGCGAGGCTTTGAGGCTGAGAAGGCGGAAGCGATGCCCTGAGAATCTCTGCGGCGGCTTGCCAAGCCTGAGGTGCCTGAAGACTTTCCTAGAGGCTTGACAACCCTAAACCCTAAACCCTAAACCCTAAACCCAAAAATTGAGCAACCCGGTCGTGCAGCAAGCCCCGGCTCTGAACATCGCCGGCGTCCTCGTCGCGCGGCCGCATGCTCTGCCAACAGGTTTCCTGCCGTGAGCTCTGCCAAGAGAATCTCTGAAGATGCACAGCTAGCTCTTCTTGCTAGTGACCACTTAGGTGTTCGGTTTGCAACCTGTCTCAGATGTTCTGCTAGCATCGGTTTCTCCTGGAAATCATGACATGGTCAGAAGCCAGGGTTCCTCCAACTTACAGGCAGCAACAGAAGACAGATTCCCACTGAGTTCTTCGGTGCTCGAACACCTACCCAAGAACAGGACACAATCCAAAAGTCGAAAGCCGCCATCTCCATCATTCAATCAAGCCCTTGGCCCAGACCTATGAGGCGCCAGACTCCCAAGGGCCCGAAAATGCCAGGGTTTGAGGCTCAGGGAAAGTTTAGGATGCAAATTTTTGGTGCCGTATTTATTTCATCTAAAATTGGGAGAGGGACTTAACTTACCTTGCGAGCAGTACGACCTTCCGGCCTTAGGCTGCTCAGACACACCTGCATTTATCGGGCTGACCAATGCTCCCTTGATGTCTGAAGGGAGACTTTACGCCAGGAGCGCAAGCTGTTTGGGCGAATTTGCGCGCTGATTGCTTTCGGGTCGAGACAAGTCAGCGCACAAGAGCTTGGAGTTGTGCGCTTTGCGGCCTGCAGGCACGAGCTTCCCGTGAGAGAAATGTTTCTTGTAAGGTGTGCTGGTTTATGGTGGATCCGGGCAGGATTCACAGGTAGCGTTGGAGAGGACTGTTCCTTCATCTCGAGCTTGGCGCCTGACACTCCAGAGACTCCATCAGCGATCTCGCGGCTGTTGAAGAAGGACTTCCGCCGAAGGGTTTCGCGACCTTTCTGATGTGCTCGGTGAAATGGTGGAACCTGCCTTGAGGTTTGGCTGAGCGGGCGAAGCATGCGAAGCATCAAGGCTGGCGCGTTTACCAAGTACGGCCTAGCAAGAGCCAGGCATCGAGAAGCAATGCATACCTGGCATGCCTGATGATGGCAAGACCGGCCAACCCACTCCGCGGCACAATGGAGGTAGATGCCGCCCTGACAAGAGAATGGGCATGCCGCGGGTATACCCGCGGCCTGACGTGGCCTTGTCTCCCATGAGGACCCTGGTGATACTCTCGGCTGGCCTGAGCCGCAAGGTCTCAAGCGTGGCCTGAGCAGAAAAGCTCGGCTGCAACATTCTGTCCAGGTTTCGTCGATGCCCTCACTCACCGACATTGGGCCAGTACTCTGGACGCACCCAAAGTGAAAAAAATGGATGCGGGTGAACCGACTGCAACATGCATTGGCTTGATAACAGACCTTGACACTGTCACTCTGCTTGTGGGCGGTTGTTTGCTTGTGTTTCTTGTCAACTCATAGGCCGTCAAGAGGGAGAAAGGGCCGTTTCGAAATGGGTTTGGTGCCGAATGCGTGTTTGGATACTTATCAGGACCGGCTCGCATCGCGTTTGCATTTCATGAAGGTCTCCCGGCACATGGCCCGAGCTGCACATGACATGAAGTAAGATTTTTTGACTCCGATTCCTGCAACCTACACTCCAAAAATGGTAAGTGCACAGGTTGATGTCATTTGCATGAATTCGCTTTGTGCCCGGGACCCTTTCTAGCTTGTGGGTGGCATCAGGGAAAGCCGATAGCCCGTACCCTAAACCCTAAACCCTAAACCCTAAACCCTAAACCCTAAACCCTAAACCCTAAACCCTAAACCCTAAACCCTAAACCCTAAACCCTAAACCCTAAACCCTAAACCCTAAACCCTAAACCCTAAACCCTAACTGCCCAAAACGGGAGTTTCCGGCTTCCTTTCCCGTTGTAATTGATTCAACCGCTGACGCGAGGCCGCCTCGGTAAGGGTCTCGAGGCTTGAGAGGGAGGGAGAGGGGTTTCAAGCCCAGCCCTAGAACAACCCCACCTTCAGCAGCTTTCATCACACAGTTTCCTTTCCTGAATGACCCTCGATAGCCACCCATAGCCTTAATCCCATACACCCCCAAGCCGGAACCCCCTGGTAACAGGCATAGACGGCAGCATCATTCATCGTTCATCGTTCATCGTTCATCGTTCATCGTTCATCATTCATCATTCATCATTCATCATTCATCATTCATCATTCATCATTCATCATTCATCATTCATCATTCATCCTTCGTCATTCATCATTCATCGTTCGTCATTCATCATTCATCATTCATCATTCATCATTCATCATTCATCATTCATCATTCATCATTCATCATTCATCATTCGTCATTCATCATTCATCATTCATCATTCATCATTCATCATTCATCACTCGTCATCATCGTCATCATCATCATTCATCATTCATCATTCATCACTCATCATCATCGTCATGATCATCATCATCATTCATCATCCAGCATCCAGCATCCAGTATCCATCATCCATCATCCAGCATCCATCATCCGTCATCCATCATTCATCATTCATCATTCATGATTCATCCTTCGTCATTCGTCATTCATCGTTCATCATCGTCATCACCACCAATGTCATACATATCCTAATGCGAAGTGTGTCGATCGAAGGCGTTCGCTGGGGTGGGTTTCGAGCCTAAAGTTCGGTGCTTGCATGCAAACTGCGAGCTTGGCTGATTCAAATGGGCCTGATGTGACAGCGGCCCTTTGCCCGAAGGCCCTTCGTTGGCTTTGCAGGTAAGTACCTCTTTAGGGAGGCTCAGGAGGGTGATCTCCATTCTGAGGCTAGTTTCCATGTTAAAAGGGGTTTATCGAACATACGGGACCCCTCATATAGACCCCCAAGTAGTAGGATTCCCTCACAATACGGGACCCCAGCAAGGTAGCCAGTAAGGTCCCCTATTTCGGCAAACCCCTTTTCTTTTCCATTGTAGTCGTCCCCATGTCCCCATTCTCAAGGTACCAATTGAGGGTTTGGGCCTGGCATTGTAGGCTTAGCCAAATGTGCTTAAGTGGCTTGTTTGTATATTCCTCAAATTCTACGAGAGATCATGCTTGAATATTGTTCTCTAACCATATAATGACATTGGAGTGTTTGAGCATGCCCCGCAGTCATTTTGACCCAGGTCCTCGCCAGGTACCAGCATGCAGCCAGTTGAAGCAAGGCTGCAGGAGCGTCTCCATAGCACGTTGAGCAGCGATGCCTGGAAACGTCTGGAGCTTGACAAGAAGCTGACGGCAAAATCATTTCACAAACCCTAAACCCTAAACCTAAACCCTAAGCCTAAACCCTTTGGAGCAAGTGGCCTACGATCTTTTGATTTTAGGGGTCCCCCTGGTCTGCGGACACTGCAGGTGACACGGAAGGGGAAGATCTGTTCGGCGTCGCACCGCATGAGCTTGGCACTGCTTACAAGGTATTGACAAGCATCGGAGGTCAAGATCAGCACCATCCACGTAGGAAGACCATTGCTGGGGAAGAAAGAAGGGTTGCTTGGGGACAAGCGCTCCTTCTCGAAGATTTGCAACCGTCGCAATTCGGCAAAAAGACCGCACCTGCAACGTTCTCTGCTAACTTGCCATCGCTCACAAAGCCATGTGCCCAAGCCCTAAACCCACAGCCTTGAACCTTAAACACGTACAGCAGACTTGCAAGAGCTCTTATTCTGATTATAACTGCATAATGCCCGAATATTTTCATCTTCTTTTATGTGTCATTATTGCCATTATGGTTAATAGTTTCATCATCATCGCTGTCGCTGTCATTGTCAAATTGTCAATATTGTTGTTTTTGCGGTTTCCTTGCGTCGCTAGCCCAAAGCGATTGCGGTTGACCTGTTGGCCTGTTGGCCCAGTTTCCCAGGACTTTCTGAAGCTAAGGGGGCTAATGGCCAATGGCTGGTTTAGGATGTGTTTGGCTGAGGGTTTGCTAGGGTTTGCAGTCACTACTGCCAGCCTTCTCACAGTTCTTGCGAATGGAGAACGGTTCGCAACATGCTTCTCCAGATGCGCGCAGCTTTTTCAACGAACGAGCGCACGGTGTCAGAGTTCATCTTTGTTGCATTGCCAGTTGCGGCAAGAGCAGCACAGTGCCAGCAGAAGCAGTACAATAACACTGATGCTACTAGTGGCCACCACGGAAGAAGCAGTCATTATGGTCGCAACTGTTGTCAGAAAGCAAGCGGAACAGTGAACAGTCCTTCGTAGTAGCTGCAGTTTTTTTTTTCTCCGTACTGCAATCCTTAACTTAGAAACCCTTCGTTGACATGCTTCAGGGGCAGTTCGACCCTATTCGGGTTTGGGGCTTTGGGAATTGGCTCCGTACGATCACAGGACCTTTCACAGGGAATCAAATTCAGAGAGCTTGCCTCATGTCATCCCAGCAATTCCGACTTCTCCATCCTATTGGCACGACGGGCGGGGGCCGTTGGAAGGATGTCGCCAAGAAGCTGCCAGAGGCTCATTTTCTGAGAGTTCTTAGAACACCGGGATCCTTTTCAAAGCATCTAACCCTAAACCCTAAGCTCTAAACCCTAAACCTTAAACCCTAAACCTTAAACCCTAAACCCTAAACCCTAAACCCTAAAACCTTCAAAGCCCTTCCTGAAGCTAAGGCCTTCCAGCCTGAGACCCTGAATCCGGCGATTTCAATTGTTCAATCCCTCAGGCCAGGGACCGTATCCCAACGACCCTAAACCCTGAACCCTAAACCCAAAACCCTAAACCCAAAGCCCTAAACCCTAAACCCTAAACCCAGAGCTTCGCGCTTCGAGCTTCGAGCTTCGAGCTTAGGGTTGAGGTTGGGATGTTCCCCCCTTATATTAACAGTCCGTAATAGGGAGTACAGTACCCCCAAGTTGCATCTCTACAGGGACATCCCTACCTTATTGGGCTTCACTATAAGGGGCCTTGCTGCTGGGAGATGAATCTATTTCCGATCCTATTTTTTGCTTATGTATATATATATATATATATGGTAGCATATATATATATATTTTTCCGGGGTCCTGCATAAAGGTTTCTAGGCGTTCTTTAGGGTTCCTTGAAGGATACTATAAAGGTTCCTTTAAGTGTTCCGTAGAAGAGGCCCAGGAGTTTGAAGAGTTTTGTAGGGCTTGGGCTTTTGTTTGCTTTAGGGTTTGAGATTTAGGGCTTTCGGGTTTTAGGGCTTAGGGTTGTTTTTGGTTTTGGTGAGGGGAGTTCCAAGGTTTCTACGGGATTCCTTGAGGAGATGCATCCGTGTTCCATAAGGCTTACTGCAGGGTTTTGGGGTTTCGGGTACTAGAAGGTTTCGACAAGGGTCCCTTGACAGGGGGGTTCCATGAGAGTCACTACAAGAAGGAGGCTCTTGGTGTTAGGGAGTTGGGGCTTTGGGCTTCAGGCGGTTATGGTTTAGGGCTTTAGGGTTTACGGCTTTACGCTGGAGGGTTTAGGGAGTTCTTCAAGTTTTCAATGCCTACACCCTTATACGAACCTTATAGTTATAGATCCCTTATCGTTCCCTCCGAAGGAGCCCGGTGAACTCCACGAAATTGAAACAGGTTGCGTGGAATGCCGTCGGCACATTCAAGTGCATCCGGGTTTACGGGTTCGGGTATAGAGTTTAGGGTTTAGGGTTTACGGTTTGGGGTTTAGGGTTTAGGGTTTGGGGTTTAGGGTTCCGGCAGCGCCATGTGCGATGGATGTGGCTGCAACCGCCCTGCGAAGATCACGGCCACTGTTGGGGCATTTCTCGTGCCAATGGGGGTCGCTCTGTACATCACGAGCTGTCGGGCCTGGAGCGAATATCGGTCCATCACCGAGGAAAAAGAGCTGGCGGTTGTTGTGGAGGGAAAGAGGAACTTTACTTTACCGGTCAGCGCTGACCTGGGTGGCAGATTCGCATTCTACTCAGATGACCTAGCAGACCTGGGCCACGTGTCTGTGAATCAGGCGTTTGAAGCATGTTGCCTTGACCGAGCAGATTGTCAGGCCCGTGCCCAGTCTATTCACATCCGTCAGACCTCCGGACTTGGTTTTCATTTGTCTGCAGACTGCGTCCCGCCAACAGCCACCCTTGACTGGAAAGGCCAACAGCTCCTGTACACGGGCACGCTCGCCCCCGAAGGACAGACTCCTGGAGACTTTCAGGTGAGTGCCCCAAACCCAGTCTGGGTGAGAGCACTGGACAGCTCCGTGCGGGCCTGGGACATAGAGGAGGAGCGGAAGATCTATTTCCTCGACTTTTGCGGTCATGTTCTTGTCATCGGAGGTGCCATCACACTCTTCGTTAGCTTGTGTCTCATGTGCTGTTGCCAGCCACCGAAGCCAGTAGACGCACGGGAGGTCTTGCTGGCGTTGCACCAAGTTCAACCGGCACAGACGGTGCAGGCTCCAGTTGCCGTCGCGACACCATTCCTGGCTGAACGAGTGAACCCTTGAAGCCCCGTTCTGTACAGAGGCTGACCATTGTGGCTTAGGATGTTCCCCTTTAGATGCTAGCCTTCCTTAATCGGGATTATAGTACCCCCTCGTATAAGCCCAATTAAAGACTGTCAGAAAAGGGGGAACATCCCAAATTGTGGCATTTATGTTTTGAAAGTTGCCGGCCCAGAAAGCTGGTCACAGCACCGTCTGGAGAAGCTGCAAGTTTCCACGATCGTGCCCTAGGCATATCGCAGGTCCAGGCATGGAAGCGGCTTCGGGTTCAGGGTTCAGGGTTCAGGGTTCAGGGTTCAGGGTTCAGGGTTTAGGGTTTAGGGTTTAGGGTTTAGGGTTAGGGTTTAGGGTTTAGGGTTTAGGGTTTAGGGTTTAGGGTTTAGGGTTTAGGGTTTAGGGTTTAGGCATATCAAAGATCTAGACATGGAAGCACTCTATGCCGCCACGCAGCTCGTTGCAGCACCCCCCCGGCACAGATGTTGCTGGGCAGGTTGCTCGCAGAGATCTCTGTGAGAACTGCGTGGAATCAAGGGGTTAGGCTTCAGTGGGTTTAGGGTTTAGGGGGTGTAGGGTTAGGGTTTAGGGTTTAGGGTTTCACTGCGTCTCTCGGACTGCCGTAATATAGGAACCTGATTGAGAACGCTTTAAGCCCCAAACACGAAAACCCTCAACGCACCCAAAACACCCCAAACCTCGAAGGCCCGAGGAACGTGCAAACCGCCCAGATCCCCTAAACCCCGAACCCTAAGCCCTAAAACCATTTGGGGAAATTCCGAAAATAGGAATGCCGTATTGGGGCCCTTATATAGTATGAGGGAATCCTAGTGTGCGGGATCAAAACTGGGGGTCCCCCCATGTTCGTAAACCCCCATTTCAGCTTGGCGCAAACTCGCAGCCCTAAGCCCACGTCGAGCAACAACAATGAAGGTGGGTTCCACCATCCTAGCAACTATTTGGGGTTTGGTCGAGAAAGGGTTTGGGGTTAGGGTTTAGGGTTTAGGGGTTCGGCTTTGGGTTTTAGGGTATGGGGCTTCGGGTTCAGGGTCTTAGGGTTTAGGGTTTAGGGTTTAGGGTTCAGCATGCAGTTGAGGATAGAGCCCGAACAAATTGCTCCCAAATCAGGCAGCAGCTTGCCGATTTCTTCGCCTCGCGGCCGAGCCATCCGGACATCGTTCTGTCGCGAGTGTGGTCATGAAGCAGGGAAAAGGGTGAGCTTAGTGGGTACCTCGATACGTGGGCCCTGAACCCTAAACCCTAAACCCCAAACCCTAAACCCTAAACCCTAAACCCCAAACCCCAAACCCCAAATCCTAAACCCCATTCCGTCATGCCTCCGAGAATCGAAGACCCGACAACACAATCCAGATGATAATCGGCTAAGCTTTTGCTCGGAGGTTCATGGGTAGATGTGAGTAGGGTTGCAGGTACTCTCTGTGGTGCTTTACTGTAACTTTAGATCCTTAGCCTTTTTGGGTTTATTGGGTTTCTTAATAAGGCAGCTAAGAATTAAATTTATGGCTACCCTGCTAAGTGCAGCCAAGTACTATAGCTACCGTTCTCAGATCTTTGACAATCTTCTCTTTATTTCGGCCCCCAGGCTAGGTTTCTGTGCTCAGACTGACAGTCTGCACGTAGGACAAAATTCGCTACCGTTCTTGTAACCTTACTTGTGACTGCCTGTGTAGGTTTAGGGCGCGGGACATCCTCCTGCGTCGCTTCTGGCCAGCAAGCTTGTGCTACGTCGTTTCACTTGCCGCCGCTGCCGTAGCATTTGCTCCGGGATGCTGTGCACGAAACATCTGCCCGAACTGGTCCCAAGCCCAAAACCACCCACACCCAAAGCCCCCCAAGAGCCCTACAACTCAAACCCCAACCCCGAAGCACTTCATTCCCTCATCTGCCCATATTCAACAACCCACCTCAAGGCCCCCCAAACCGCTTTGAGGCTTTGGACGGTTGAGACCCGAAAAAACAACGAAAAACTTGCCACCCATCGAGAGTTTCCTTGATCCTCAACCCTCAGCCCTACCTTGGCCCTTGCTGCGGAACATGGTCGCTTTGGGACGCGCAGCTGGCCCTTGGATGGTTGGCAGGACCGCCCACGCGATGCGGACTTTCGTGGGCTTGGCTTTGCCTCTACTTCGCTTGAGCGAACCCTGTACGTTGTAACCGCAGCCCTGTGTGGGTTTGTCGACTTACATGTTTCCTTCCTGATGACCAGTAAAAAAAATTAGCAGGCTAGAGCTGGGTTAGATTCGAGGCCTAGGGCGTCAGGGTTTCTGAGGTCTCGGGTGAAGTGGTCCTCTAATTGAAGGCGGCACGGGGGCTTGCGCAGAGTAGCTAAGTTCTGGAGGCCCTATCAGACCTGAACCCGCACAAGCTCACACCCTAAACCCTAAACCTAAACAATAAACCCTAAACCCTAAACCCTAAACCTTAAACCCTAAACCCTGAACCGCTCCAAGTCCCAGAGCCCATATACCCCAAAGCCCCCATCTACTCCCAAGCCGCCAACCCTCAGAACCCCTCGAAGCCCCGAACCCTCACTGCCAAACCAGAAGCTGGGGTTTAGGGTTTAGGGTTTAGGGTTTAGGGTTTAGGGTTTAGGGTCTAGGGTTTAGGGTTTAGGGTTTAGGGTTTAGGGTTTAGGGTTTAGGGTTTACCCCAAACCTTAAATCGAGCCGCTTTTGACCCCTTGGCTTCCAAGCTTTCTGTCGAGGAATGCTGGCGCCTTATTTGGCGGCCTGGCGGGGTAGGGATTGGCGTTTAGGGTTTAGGGTTTGGGGTTTAGGGTTAAGGGCTTAGGGTTTAGGGTTTAGGGTTAAGGAGAGGGTCCTCTGGGAGGGGCCTATTCCTGACTCGCGGAATTTCTTTGGGCCACTGGGCTTCTTGCCCTAGAATCTGTAGACCCGAGACCCTCAACCCTGAATGTTCAGCCCCAAACCCTAAACCCTAAACCCTAAACCCTAAACCCTAAACCCTAAACCCTAGACCTTAAACCCTAAACCCTAAACCCTAAACCCTAAACCCTAAACTCCAAACCCTAAACCCTAAACCCTAAACCCTAAACCCTAAACCCTAAACCCTAAACCCTAAACCCTAAACCCTAAACCCTAAACCCTAAACCCTAAACCCCTAAACCCCTAAACCCCTAAACCCCTAACCCCTAAACCCCTAACCCCTAAACCCTAAACCCTAAACCCTAAACCTTAAACCCTAAACCAAAACCCCAAAACCCTAAGCCCTAAACCCTTTTGAAACCATGAGCCGGGCCAAGGATGAGCAGAAGTGGGAAGAGATCGCGAGCGCCCTGCCAGTTGCCCCTGCCTCAAAGAAACTGCGAACCCCAACCCCAAAAACCCTCAACCCCTGAACCCTCAACCCCTAAACCCTAAACCAAAAACCCTAAACCCTAAACCCTAGACCCTAAACCCTAAACTCTAAACCCTGTATCCCAAGCCCTAAGCCCCAAGCCCTCCCTTCGCATTCCGAGCCCCACCCAGGTGCTGAAGCAGTGCCCACGCCCACCGGACCTTCCAGACGCCGAAGGCAAGCTCCTCCCGCCCTCGAGGCTCCGGCAGTTCATCGGGTAGTAGGGTCTAAGGCGTCTAAGGGTTTAGGGTGGAGGGTTTAGGGATTAGGGTTTAGGGTTTAGGGTTTAGGGCTACAGTGTGTCGGAAAGCTCTTGGTTCCAGCATTCTGGCAACGATTCTGGGGGCCTCTTCAGCCCGATCCCCCAAACTCGCAGCCCGAAGCCCCCCACAGCCCAACGGAAAAAGCCTTATTGGGGGTTCTCTAAACTAGGGCCCCTCTGTGGCTCCTTAATATCAGGCCCAAAAGGGGCCAAAATTCAGAAAACTGCCCCAATTCCTGAACCTGCAACCGCTCGAGGCTTTGGGGGGGGCTTTGGCAATGTAGGGTTCAAGGGTTTAGGCAGCTAGGGGCTTCGGCTCCAGGAATTCTTAAAGTCGGGTTTAGGGTTTAGGGTGTAGGGCTGGGGTTTAGGGTTTAGGGTGTTGGGTTTCGGGTAGCCAAACTCAAGCTCGGAAGACCTAAACTCATCAGGCAACAGCAGCTGGCCGATGAGGCCATTCTGAATGATGCCCGCCGGGACCGAGAAGTAGGATCTGATGTTTTCAGTGACAGTGGCTGAAGCTTCCTAAACCCTAAACCCTGAACCCTAAACCCTAAACCCCAAACCCTAAACCCTAAACCTTGAGCCCTGAACCCGAAATCCTACAATTTGTTTAGGGGTTTAGGGTTTAGGCATCCTTGGCTTTTGTCAGGGTGAGGGCTTTGGGCTATGAACCTTGGGGGCTGCGGTGCTGGCGGTTTTGGGAGTAGGGGTTTGGGGTTCAGGCCCCCAAGCCCTGTCCGTGGCAAGAGCCCTAAACCCAACACTTGTTTGGGGGTTTAGGGTGAGGGAACCCAAGACCCCGAAAACCACAGACCCTCAGTCCTAAACCGCCAGCGCGCCGGCACGTCTTGAGCCCGCCACCCAGCGCAGGACAAGAAGCAGATGGCGAAGCGGGAGAACTTGACGAAGATCCTCTTCCGGGGCAACACGGAGGGCGAGGCTGCCGACTGTTTCTGAGGGAGCTTTTTGGGGAGGCTTTCTGTGGGGCCTCACCTCTCAAACCCCTACATCCTGAAGCCCCAAACCCGAAACCCTTAAACTCTAAACCCCTGAGCTTGCACGCCCGTACCCCAAGCCGCCGTGAGGGCGAAAGGGTCAACCCTAAACCATAAACCCGAAACCCTAAACCCAAACCCTAAACCCCCTAAACCCTAAACCCCAATCCCTAAACCCTAAACCCTAAACCCTAAACCCTAAACCCGAAACCCCGAACCCCCAACCCGGAACGCCCCAGAGGCTTACCGAGTCTCCATGCTGGGGCCTCATGTTGTTTCGGACTGTGGCTGAAGGTTCGGGGGCTTGTGTAGGGTGTAGGGTTTAGGGTTTAGGGTTTAGGGTTTAGGGCCTAATCCCCATTGCTAGTAGC